GAGCTTTGGGGACAAGACTAGACATGAGTACCGCCTATCACCCTCAAACCGACGGCCAGAGCGAGAGAACCATACAAACCCTAGAAGACATGCTGAGAGCCTGCGTAATCGATTTCGGCAAAGCATGGGACACACATCTACCCTTGGTCGAGTTCTCGTACAACAATAGCTACCACACCAGTATCAAAGCTGCCCCGTTCGAAGCCCTCTATGGCCGCAAGTGCAGGTCACCTTTATGCTGGGCCGAAGTGGGAGACACCCAACTAGCAAAAGGACAAGCAACTGACAACACACTTACTGGGCCAGAAATCATACGGGAAACTACGGAGAAGATTGTTCAAATCCGAGAACGTCTAAAGGCATCAAGGGATAGACAAAAGAGTTATGCAGATAAGAGACGAAAAACCCTTGGAATTCCAAGTTGGAGACCGTGTCCTACTAAAAGTCTCGCCTTGGAAAGGATTGATACGCTTCGGAAAACGTGGGAAACTGAACCCCAGATACATCGGACCATTCGAGATCCTTGCGAGGATCGGTCCAGTGGCTTACAAACTTAGACTACCTCAGGAACTCCACAACGTACACCCTACCTTTCATGTATCAAACCTGAAAAATGCTTATCCGACGAGACCCTTGTCGTCCCTCTAGACGAAATCGCAATAAACGAAAACCTCCAATTTGTAGAGGAACCGGTAGAGATCATGGATCGGGAAGTCAAAAGGACTAAACAAAGCCGCATACCTATCGTAAAGGTCCGCTGGAACGCCAAGCGAGGACCTGAATACACCTGGGAACGAGAGGATCAAATGAAACAAAAGTACCCGCATCTTTTTCCTAATTTGTAATATTGATCTTAGATTAAATTTCGGGACGAAATTCCCTTAACAGGGGGATGATGTGACAACCCTATTTTTCCCAAAAGCATTGTAAACACTCGAAAGCTAAAAACAACGAAATTAACCTCGAAAATAAAGTGTTCAGGTATCTAAGTTGGGATGCATCGAAATTAGATATCATGCCCAGGTTTCCAAAACATAAAGAACACTCAAAACCGAGTTATATTGAAGAAATTATAACCACTCGTATAATTACGACTCGACGTTAAAACATAATTTGACGTAAAAAGTGAAATCTCATAAAATACATTTTAGCCTTAAAGTATCTAAACAAAAGTCGTAGATCTCGTTGAAAGATGAGCGTGCATAAAAAGATCGCCCAATTTGGACCTCGTATGAAGAAGTTACGAATTTTCAAAGTTTCGTAACAGTAGTAAAGGGCTAAAAACTCGGATTGAAGATCGAGTATTATTTAGCTATCGCCACCTAAACGGAAGTTGAAGATCTCCTTGGTGGTAATAAAACAATAAAAAGACAAACGAAAACCGACGTCGAATAAAGAACCTATGAAATTTTAACGAACTTTAGGAGGCCCGGCCTATTAAAATTATATCATTAAAAATAAAGTCAAAACTAGCCGACGGAGTCTAAATGAAAGTTGTAGAGCATAATCTCACCTACGCGTGGATATAAAGAACGCGAAAAACGGAGCTCGTACGCGAAAGTTACGGAATTTAGAAGTTGGAAGCAGGGATTACGCCCCGCGTAATCTGGGAGTACGCCCCGCGTACTAGACCCAGGGTCGAGTCCCATCGGCCCGCCCAAGCTACGCCTAGCTAGCCAGGAGTCGTAAGCCATGACGCCTTATTACGCCCCGCGTAACCGAAGTACGCCCCGCGTACTGACTACGCCCCGCATACTCCGGCAGTACGCGCCGCGTACGGGGGTTTTCAGCCCTATAAATAGAGGGCATAAGGCTCGGGTTTTGGCACACCTTCACCATTTCTCAGACATTCTCCCAGCTCCAGAGACCCTTTTCTCACCTCGGTTTCCGCACTCGAGCCCCGACGAAAGATTTACGTTGCAGAAGTTCCCGAAGAGCCCGACGACGCAACTATCCGAGATCGAAACTCTGCTCAACTCTAGCCCCTCTCTTCAAACTTAACGAGTGAGCTACTTTTAAATCCTTTTACATGTTTTAGGGGGGGAAATACAAGTACATTACACGTTAAAAGTATCGTTTTCTAAACATAAATGCAATTTCTAACTTCGAATATCGATACAAACATCTTATGTATACAAGGGCAATTATATCACTAAGTTATGTCTACGAAATGGAACATACTATCTGAAGAACTATAATGGGTATAGTTAGCAAGTCAATCCTACATTTTTATACAATTTGAAAAACGAAACACTTTCAAAAAGGAGTAAAGTCATTTCATTGTAAATCTATTTATACTAGGTAAATGTGAGACATTTAAACTTCAACGTACATTTTTGTATGCATTTCAAGTCCTGTATTATATACCATAATCTCTTGGAGGGAGAGCGTGATACTTGTGTATAGATCTATACGGGATTGACAATCCCGCACCTAAACTACTAGCTATAGTTAGACCGGCAGGTCTGGGGTGACAAATGTCATAACACTGCAACACTTGAAGAATGTTGTTACAGGCCGTCAGTGTCAATAGTATGGTTATAAAACTCACATAAAAAGTATAAAACAAGATTGATTTACAAGGTTCATATGTGCATCGCAGTATTTCTACATTATATTTTCATACTAAATTATTGTTATCAATTGTTTATAAAAGTTACTAACACATTCCAACTTTGGAACCTTTTACATGTTACAAGAAAATATTGGATTTTCTAAAGATTTCGTTTACCAAATTACCACCAAAAAGGAATATACTTTTCAACTCGGAACACTCATGAACTCACCAACTTAAATGTTGACACTTTTCAAAACCACTTGTATTTCTCAGGGAATCAGTGATACAGGTAAACTACCAGCTTTTGGAAGAAGGAACATAAAGGATGATTTTATCATTAAGCATTTAATCATCATATTGTAATATTCTTTTGATAACATGTATAACGCAACAATACACGTTTTCATTGTTATATATATGATGGTTGTGTTACTTTCTTTACAATATTCAATCGTTGTGATACTACGTGAAGTCATCCACCCCCGAATGTTTCCGCCATTCTGGTTTGGGGGTGTGACACCGATCCACTGAGTCACACCCAATGACTCATTACTCCCAACCTGCCAATGCAAAAAAAGGGAAACTCGGGGAATCGCGACTCGACTCGCCGAGTCCGAGGGACGAATCGTCGAGTCAGCCACATGTAATTACTATAGACTCGATTTTTCTTGAATCCAGCTCATGCCATTCACAGATCTAGGTTTCTAGGGCATGGATTACACGTAAAGTTTCCAACTTTACGTGTAGATAATCACCAATGAAGGTTTTAGGGCTCAAAGTGCACCAAAAGGGGTAGATCTAGGGCTTTCATGCAATATGACTCCATAAAGGCAGTAGATCCAAGCTCCAGGGACTAAATCATGCCTAGATCTAGAGGCTAACAACTTATTACAACCCACAATGCACAAACAAGCTTGGGGAATGGCTCAAGAAGGACTTTCATGAAGCTAATAGAGACTACAATCTTGAAAACAGAGGGGAAACGAGCTATACCTCAAGGAAAATGTTGAGATGACATAAAGATGTCTGGCCTCCTTCTCCTCTTCTTGATCTGCTCTTCCTTCTCCTCAAAATCTTCAAGAACACACCAAAACGCTTCAATCTCACAAGGAATATGGGTATAAACGATGTTGGGAGCTCTGAGGGTGAATGGGGGCGAGCTTGGGGCGGAAATGAGGGTTTAGATAGGGTGCAAACCCTTGAAATTTAGGGTTTCATCAAACAGCGGGGACTCGCCGAGTCCAGAATATGGACTCGCCGAGTCGCCAACTTAAACATACCCCCGGACCCCGTCCCTACTCGGCGAGTCAGACCTACAACTCGCCGAGTCCAAGGCTAAAAACGACAAATACTTAGATAAATTTTACGTACCAGGAACCAGGTGCTACACACCAACTCATTAACCATCAACGGACCATCAAGAATTTGGTGGGACTTAAGAAAAGCCGACTGCTCTAACCCAATAACGTCATGAAGAACAGGTGTCAACCTATTAGTCAACAATTTTGCAATAATCTTAAATTGAAATCCAATAAGACTAATAGGGTGATAATCCTTTATACAAAGCGGATTATCAGATTTAGGAATCAAAGTAATAAACGACGAGTTACACCCCATCGGGAAAACATGTTTGGCAAAAACTCTTGCACAAAAGCAATAACATCGTCCGCAAGAATCTCCCAAAAATGTCTAAGAAACGGAAGGTAAAACCATCCGGAATAGGGGAACAATGCACACTACAATCCCAAACAGTATTTTTAATCTCTTCAGTCGTGAACCCCGCCTCAATAGAAGAAGCAACCCACGGATCCAAAGAGTTGAATCTAGGTCTTCGACGATCCAAACTAACACCAAGAAAAGGTTGAAACTTAGTTGCATAAAAAAAGCCTTTTTAATACTTGCAAAATCCAAGATCCACTCCCCATCAATAGTAACCCCTTTAATAATCACCTGCCTTCTATGTTTTTTCAATAAAGCATGAAAACACGCAGAGTTCTCATCCCCCTCCATAGCTTGAGTAGATCTAACCTTTTGAGCTACATCCAGGGATATAACTTTTTCTAAATTTGCCAAATCTCCAAGAATTCCTTTTCTTTTTCGAATAATGTCATCCTTAGATTGACCATCATCAATAAATTAAAGTTGTCAATCTGTACCAACCGGACCAACAACTGAGAAGAAGAGAGTTGCGCAGCCGACTTAGCCTCCGCATTCCAAGACCAAATCATGGTTGTAATAAACTTGAGCTTGTTTTTGAAAACGACAAACTTACTCCAAGCCGTATCACTAACAAAATTAGCCATAACTCCTTTAAACACATCTTCAAAACCCTCCAAAGAAAGCCAATAATTGAAGAATTTAAAAGGAGAAGGCCCAAAGTCAACCGTATTCGAATGAAGCAAAATAGGGCAATGATCTGACCATTTCTATCCAACACCGAGACCTAAAGATGATCAAAACGATCAGAAACCGCATCCAAGAGCAAGAATTGGTCAAGCTTGCTAAGTTTAGCAACTATGACATCAACTCTAATAAACCGCTTTCCAACCATAGGCATATCAATAAGACCACCATCATCAATGAAGTCATTAAAAGGCTGGGCGGAAATAGAACATAAAATAGAACCGAACCTTTCACCCGCCTACCTGACAACATTGAAATCACCAAAAAGACATAATTACCCCCCATTCCTTCTCATGAAAGTCGATAGATACCCCTGAAGATGTTGTTTTCCCACTAAATCTTGAGGAGAATAAATATTAACCATAAAACAATTAATATTAAATGGAATCCACAAGCCTCCCACAATAACCACATTATTAGTACAAGTAACACTACTTTTAATAAACACATTCGGGTCTCACACAAAAAGAATACCACCCGATCGATCCCTAGCACTACTACTAGGAAAATCGAAGCTATAGTTACCCCCACATACTTCGGATCTTAAATAAATCAACTTGCGTCATTCTCATTTCTTGCAAACCCAAAAAAGAAACTCCAAACTGCAAACAAAGCGCCTTAACCTAACTTCTTTTTAAAAAAGAACGAGTACCACATATAATCAAAGAAAGACACTTCATTGATTCACCTGTACCACACCAATACTAGAAAAAAAATCTTTTTAACCCGTTCCTTATTAGACTCCATATCATACCCAAGAAGACCACCCATTTCAAAATAGTGCTTCAACAACCACCGAGACTTTCTTTTTAAGTATCTTAGAAGATCCATGAGAAGTACAAGATTGATCTCGTCTAAAATCGGGAGGTTGTGAAGGAGATTCGGATGCCCCCCGCCCCCTCCACATCAGCCACCAAATGGGGCGGATCACCCTGTAGCTCACAGTTAGCCAACCTAACTAGAGAAGGCACAATCAGATTGCATTAATTTTTGGCGACACCTCTCGTGACAGCAACGTTTGGCGAAGAAAGACCCCCTTCCACAACTCAATTACCTTTTCTTTTATTAGTAGTTTAAAAAAATCTTACCTTTCTATCAACAAACCCAACTCCTCTAACACTATTAATAGGTGTATTATACATGCTAAATGACTCCTCTTTCCCCTCATCAACCTTATCACCATTCTCTAAATCAATAATATCATTCACATCATCATCAAAACAAGCATCTTCTTCCTCCCCCCCCCCCCCCCCCCCCCCCCCGACAGATCAGGAATATCCATATTCCGAACATATTTCTTCCTCCTCCATAATATTTGGTTCCCAATTTGAAAACCACCACCCCATATTTAACGCCTTGAGCAACCACTTTATTCATATCATGAATCAAAGAAGGTTTCCCAATATTAATACACATACGTTTACTGCCAAAGGGGCATCCCCATCCTCTTCAATAAAACAAACCTCACCCCCACATAGTAGCTAGCTTTTTAACCGCAACATCATTCCAAGCACAACATGGTAAACCCACCAACTCTAACCAAATAGCATGCTCTTTAACAAAAAAAAAACATTAACAACCGGTCTGAAGACTGAGAAATAAGCCTTAACTGCCTTAGATTTCTTAAACTGTATACAAGAAACCTCTTATACAAAAGAAATGTAGACCCATCCACTACCAACATATTTAAATATAATTTCCGGAAAACCTTCTTCTTTCAAGAGAATACACAACTTTGGGATCAATCTAATGTAACGTAGCTTATCAAAAACGTATGCTTTCATGGACAACGGATTATCAATCTCCTTTCCCTGTAAAATATACACAGGAACCGAGCCTTTCTTGTTTTTCACACACCCATCACCCTTTACTACATTTGCATAAGAACTACTTCGTGCATCAGCATGCACATTCGACCGATGCACCTGCTCAACAGGATTAGCAGTAATAACCTGCCCCTTTTTATCCGAAGCTCCCTTGTTACTAACATCCCAACTAAACTGAGCCACAAAAGCAAACAAAAGATATGACTCCATCCAAATCTCCCTAAGTTTTCGTTCCAACACAAGTTCATCTTTAAATTTAAGAAAAAGGATAAAGGCGCATCTCTTACCAATTAATTTATGGGCCACATAAACATCAGCCACCTTCCCAACCTTATCACAGACCTCCCATAACGACTTGACATCTGCGTCTCGAGGAAAATTAATCACATAGAATGGCGTAGAAACACTATAGACCATTCTCTGATTCATTGAAGTAGAGTGCAAACAATTAACCTTTTTATTACCAACCATCGAGAACAGTAAGATAATCAAAAGGAGTCGACGGCGTTTGATCCTGTCGGAAACGATGACGAAGGCCTCCGAGATCGCCGGAGGACGCAAGCGTTTTTATCGTTTTATAATGGTGTTTTTTACCCATAAAAATGGCGTTTAAGCCTGTAAACTACAAAAAAATGACGTTTTAAAACAAACACGAAATGTTCGTAGGGTTAAAATGACATTAACCCTTTTTTTATGAATGGACGTACCTATCACATATGAAATTAGTCTGGGAATTGGAACCAAACCAAAAATAAATAAATAAAACAAAACAAAACAAAAAAGGGAAATATAAGAATCGAAAAATAACGATTCGGTTGCGGATTCAGCTTTTTGGTTCCAAAACCGCAAAGAACCGCAGTTCTAAAGTACATAGTTGTTTGCATTTTTTGGTGATATTTTTGCATTATCTAGTAATTTAATTTACCATTATAATTAGATATAAAATAAAAAAATACTGGTTAACAAGGTGTCTAAAAAGGAGATCATGACTTCAATCTCAAGCATATACTAACTCACTGCTATATATATATATATATATATATATATATATATATATATATATATATATATATATATATATATATATATATATATATATATATATATATATATATATATATATATATATATATATATATATATATATAGAGAGAGAGAGAGAGAGAGAGAGAGACTATACACGTTATAACCCATGGAACCATAATTATAAGATTAATCGAAAATTGATAGTTAAAAATCATAATAATTAACGAATTGTTTTTAAAAAATTATTAATTTACAGAGTTATATGATTTTCATGTAACGTATACCCGTTGAATAAAATAAATATGTGAAACAATTTTTTAGATACATGGGACAATTTTTATGTGTAAATAAATGAAAAAATGATAATATAATACAATCAAATAAAAAAAAACCAACATCAAGTAATGACAAATTAAAAGTTAAGTTATTGTAATAAACATATAACAAATTATACATGAAAAATTAAGAAAAAAAATATGTTTTACTACGAATAAATAAAAGATGTTATAAGAAATAAAAGTCTACAAAATGTTTATAAATTTCTAGAAAAAAATATACACGACATTAGAAGTTTTATTTGGAAAAACTGGTTCTTTGAGAAATAGTGCAACTTCTATAAAGACCGTCATTAGCTCTTGTTAATTATTATTGCAAAACATTCAGATAATAGAAACCGTCTTTTCTGAAATTTGAAGGAGATTTTTTATTTTAGATATTGTTAAGGGTATTCTTTGAATAAATGTTTGCTTTTCAATATTACTTCTAGATATAGTAAATATATCAATAACACGTTTGTCCAAAGATATCACTTATAGTCTAGTACTATTATATAAGCTATTTTTTTTTATCAATATTTCCCAATTTTCAAAACTAACTTTTAAGTGGTAGAGGAAAATACATAAAATGGCATTTTAATCAAAGTTATATTAGTTGGCCTTCTTTGTAATAATATTAATGGTAACCGAGTAATAATGAATGAATGTGTACACGAAAAAATAATTCATATATAACTTTATAATAAAAAATTTACAAGTTCGTAAATAATGAATGTAAGAGGAAAATACATAAAATGACATTTTAATCAGGGTTAAATAAATATGAAATATCAATTTTAAGATATAAAATTTATGTTGATGTTAGATAATTTCTAATGTATTTGTTTGGAATATAGAACGATTCAAATTGTGAAAAAAAAATATTATTATTAATATAAGTAAATTAATCTATTTATCTTTACTTATTTACCTTCCAAATTAATTAAGTAATTGTTTAAAAAACGCAAGTAACCAAAATTTATGTTATTTTCTGATATTATATTCTTATGTAAGAAAGAAAAACACTATTCATTTAAAATTAAGAAATTTGGTCCCCACATGTGTTGTACTATTCTTTTTTAAGAACACAAAAGTGGAGTGGAGTTCGCCACCGATCTCACTAGGTTCGCTAGTGATCTTGAAACACCGCCCCCTACAACGCGCTAGGGGGTCGCTAACCGGGACTCGTCGGGTCTTTGGCGAGAAGAGAGAGAAACAAAGAAGCATTGTGATTGGTCGCATCTTGTTGGACTGGAGTGTAGATTGTTTTACCAATTTAAGTGTTCTATGAATAAGAAATCACGGTGGTACAAACCTCAGATCAAGATCCGCAGATGAAAAAAAATATATTAAAAACATATCAACAACGCTTGCAAACCTGCAACTTAAACATTGAGAAAATGAGATTAATTTGGGGGGCATTAGAGTTGAGATTTAGGGCTTGGTGGATGTAGAGAGATGAATGATTTTTGGAGTGGAGTGGAGGCTCATGAATCCATTAAGGTTTTTTAGTATTTATATGGAGAGTGGATTGGGCTTCAAGATGGGCTAATACATGAGGTAATATTTTTTAATAATTAAATGGGTTGGAGTAAAACATGAACTAACATATTCTTTATACTAAATTTTTATAAAAGATATTTTTGTTTCCTCTTGTTATACCAACTTTTATTTTAAAAAAAAAAACTTTTTTTTAATAAAAAATCAAAATATTAAATCCAATCCCTATAAATATAATTTATATTAAATTAATTGTTTGTGAATCAGAAAATAAATTTTGTTTAATATTTATGCACAAAAAATGTTTGTATATTAAAATAAAGTAATTTAGTTAAATTACAAAAAAAAATGTTAGGACTGTTATCACTCCCTGTCAAATCCTAAGATTAGGTGTTAAGGGGTGTTTGGCTTGTTTTTTTAGAGACAAAAGTTTTTTTTGGAAAAGTTAAAAAAGTCAGGATTTCCTAACTTTTCCAAAAAATCAATTTTACTTCTATCTAAAATCCAAAAGTAACTTTTAAAATGTTTCTACCATATATCTTTTACCTTTTATCCTTTTCAAAAAAGACTTTTTGTCTCTTAAAAAGACAAGCCAAACACAAATAAAGTGACACTAAAAAATAGTATTACTACTAACTTTAACCTAAGTTTTTTCAACTAGTAAATGTAATTTTGTATATTTTTTGGTGAAGAAGTAGTTGCATAATCTTTAGCAGCTACTCATTTAGGGGTTGATTTCTGTTAGTATAAGGTCTTCGATTTTCGTCCTTGAGAGGTTCATGTAAAGTAAGATTAGATGCAAACGATGTAGTTGAGGCTCGAGTTGGACTTGATTCCCTTAAACAGATTCGCCGTCTGTTCCCAGGGTACAAAAACGTAAACAGTATTGTGTACTGCCGGAGATAACCACTTGCCTGAAAAGATGACCGGAAGCAGAAAGGCAGAGAAGGAAGAAGAAGAGTAGTAAATTCATTCATGTGTCTGAATGACAAGGCAATGGTCTTCTTTTATAGTCGAATTATGAAACGGAAAGAAATCACTAATTGATTGAGCGTTTAATGGCAATAAATGTCATTAATTACGCAATTAATGCATCCGTTACAAAATTCAAAAATAGGGACCAAAATTGTCACTAATTGATTGAGAAGGCAATGGTCTTCTTTTATAGTCGAAAGGCAGAGATAACCACTTGCCTGAAAAGATGATCGGAAGCAGAAAGGCAGAGAAGGAAGAAGAAGAGTAGTAAATTCATTCGTGTGTCTGAATGAGAAGACAATGGTCTTCTTTTATAGTCGAATTATGAAACGGAAAGAAATCACTAATTGATTGAGCGTTTAATGGCAATAAATGTCATTAATTACGCAATTAATGCATCCGTTACAAAATTCAAAAATAGGGACCAAAACTGAAAGAAATCACTAATTGATTGAGTGTTTAATGCCAATAAATGTCATTAATTACGCAATTAATGCATCCGTTACAAAATTCAAAAATAGGGACCAAAACTGAAAGAAATCACTAATTGATTGAGCGTTTAATGGCAATAAATGTCATTAATTACGCAATTAATGCATCCGTTACAAAATTCAAAAATAGAGACCAAAACTGTCGCCCATGCACAAGTTCAGTGTTTTTGGTCTACAGAACCAAGATTTGCACCCCCCATGCACGCAGGTAGGAATTGTAGCATAACCATAGACACAAGCTTGTAAGCCTTCCATGCAATGAAGCTTATAAACCTTGTTGAGTTTGGTCTCTCTAACAATGTGGGACTCATTCCCACATTCCTCTCTTTTGCTAAACTTATTCTCAAATACCCATCTTTGAGTATCGATATCTCATTCACTTATACTCTATTTTGGACATATAATATATCGTTTCGAAACCCTCATGGAGGAGAACACAAACCCACTTAGAGTTTGTTATATATACAACATATGTATATATTTATATATGTCCAAAGTTATTAAAAAATTATAAATAGTTTTACTAAATTTCCAACAATTTCAAAAGTTTGAATGTATCTCCTTTTTCACAGGCATGTAGTATATGATTTTGTATATTTTTTGTTTGCTATAAAGTTAGTTCAAGGTGCTATTTGGGTAAACCAGAGTTTAGGGACAGATTTTATGTACTTTTATAACATGTTGGCATTCACTTACCATGGTATTGATTTTTTTTTTTGTACATATATTGTTTACAATATAAGATCTTGCTATATACAATGGAACTGATAATGGCTTACTCATATACTTATATTTCTTCGATTTCTTGGGGTACTCTCTTTCCCGCTCTTTCTTTTTGTTTGACCAATTATTTGCATTAATTTTATATGGTGAAATTTATATAACTAATTTGAATTGTTTAAATTTATGCTAAATCATTGGTAATTGCATGCACATGTTGCTAAATTTGTCTATATCATTTTAATTGTTGTTTTTCATTCATGTGTGTAACAAAAGGAAAATCTCATTATGTGCAAGGAGGTGGCTACAGTCACGTTGATGGAAGGTTGTCTATTTTCCTATATAATTTTCAAATGAATGTATAAAAAATTTTCTTTCAAATCCCTAACTG